CCAGACAAGTTCAGTGCCTTTTCTGGTACTTCGCAGTGAATCTGTTTTTCAAGAAAAAGTTTAAAACACTATATATCATATTTTGTTTCATTTAGTCACTTGACCAAATAACATATATTTGAGTGATTACTATATCATCTTGTGTTCAATATCATAAAAATTTTTAAGCATTTGACTATCTCTTTCCCTGTCTCATTTCCCTCCACCTCTCTGAATATGGCTGCCTTTTAAGATTCAGAACTTACTCCTCTGATGTCCTCTCTGCATATTCTCTCTTCAGCCACATTTATTTAATTTGTTCATTTTGTTAATGATTCCAAGTCAATCTGGTTTCACATTTGAATACTACTTTATCATTCCTAAGTATCTAAAATTAATATCTTTTTTGGATACCTCTTGGTTTACTCAAACCATACCAATCACCAGTTAAAAACATCTACATATATCTAAAACAAAAATCCATCTTTCCAAGTTGTGTGACAGCGAATATGAGTGTCCTGCTCTATACTCATCTCCCAGCAAAAATATTAGAACTATAGAAAGAAAGTAATAGAGATATTTTAATGTCCTCATATATAAGCATGTGTGATGGAAATAATGGATAAGTTTTCACTTAGCAGATGTGGGACATTAAGTAAGTCAATTACTTTACATTCAGAAAATGAGGGGGTTATATTAAATATTAGTTTCCTTCAAAATTTAAAACTCTTACGTTTTTTGAATCCTCTATTGCTTCGTATTTGCAGTCATTTAGTACTAAAGATTTGATTCTTTCCTAATGTCGCTGGATTCTTTTATGATTTTCTAAAATAGGGATTCTTAATGTTGACTGCACACAGTAGTCACCTGGGATGCTTTTAAATATACTAATGCCTTGGTCACCTCTCTTTCTCCAGAGATTTTGGTGTAATTAGTCTAAGGTTCAATCTGATCTGTGGGCAACGGGCACAAATTTTGCTACACATTAGAATCACCTGAGGAATATTTAACATTCCAAATTAAATCTCAATGTCATCATGATTTTTGAAGATTCCCCCAATAATTCCAATGTCAGCTAAGTTTGGAAGAAAACAACAACAAAAATCTGAGGAAGCAACCATATGTAAGATATTTAATTAAGCTGAGTCAGAATTTAATCACATCTATTGTTGGGATAAGAAAGAGGGAGTTAAATTTAGAATTGAAAGTACTTTTATATATTTACATAAAAATTCAAAACTTTCATAAAGAGTTAGTAATTATCTACTCAATGTTTTGCCTTACTTGTAATGGCATGAAAATAGTTTATTTAATTATACTTACTGTTAAATTGTAGAAAAGGCAGACAATTTTAAAAGGATATTATTATTTTAGCATATTTTTTTTTAGAGAATTCTAATATTTATTTTTAGTTTTCGGCGGACACAACATCTTTGTTTGTATGTGGTGCTGAGGATCGAACCCGGGCCGCATGCATGCCAGGCGAGCGCGCTACCACTTGAGCCACATCCCCAGCCCCAATTTTTAGCATATTTTGTTAAGGTGGCTCAATAAAAATTTTGGTCCTATGAAGTAGTACTGCTAGTTTTTTTTTTTTTTTTAATTTCACTATAGAAGATGCTAAGAGACTGTGAAGGAAAATGTGCCATGTACCATGAAAGCTGGAGAGTACAGTAACATATTTGAGGCAATTGTGATTGGTGATCATTTATAGTCCAACTAATGGTCTATCTTTGTAAGTTCAATGTAGTTGGAACATTAGTATGATTTTGCTGGCAGCTGGAAGTTTGCTGGGGGGTCCCAGCAAACTTCCAGCTGCCAGCATGATTTCTAATCTTTGCTAATCTTTTAATATATATTCAGCTCAGAGAATTCCAATTTACATCAAGTAGCACAAACTACTGGGATGCAAACAATAATTTAAGAATATACACTTCTGTCCTTTTCCCCCTTTTCACTTGTGAGCATGTGGATTAGAGGGAGGTGAGTAAAGACTGTAACTTTTAAATGTAGTTTCTTTCCTTAGAAAGTCAAATAACAGGTAAAAAGTTCTTTACTTAGAAAGACCTTTTTCTGGATAAAATGAACAAGGACCAAATTGAATGCATTCACAAATTGATGATGTGTTTACTTAATTCTCAGACACCTCCACTCCAGATAATAAAATTTGCTTTTATTTTTTCTGAGACTTTACAGAAAAAAAGAAATATAAATGTATATGGCCTACAATACATTAGATCAATTAGCATAAAAATCCACAGGATTTCTTATTATTTTGTTGATGAATAAAATACATCACTACAGTATAGATTTCTTGAGGGATTGTGCCTGGATCACTTTTGGATGAGTGGCACACTGTTTTCACAGATAGTGCAGAAACAAAGACTGACAACTGACTCTGTGTCAGGTGTGTCTTAAATGATTTACATGAGTTATTTTAGGACCTGAGGACTGGTATTACTGCCATTTCCCTTTTCAGATGAGGACACTGAGGTTTAACAGAAATGATTTATATATGAGTGAAAATATACACAAATCATAATTTTGCATGGTTGAATAATAAATAAATATATGTATAATTACACAAGTATATACACACACACATACACACACAAACATCCACATAGCTTTTACATAATTGAAAAAACATTTATTCAAATAGATATAAAGATTACATCTGGCATGGTATAGGTGTGTGGGTAGTTTAGATTTCTCATTTTTTTTTAATTGAGTTAAAAAATTTTAGTTAAGTCCCACCCCCATTTTTAAAACTATTTTTTTACTTGTAAGTGGACATAATACCTTTATTTTACTTATTTATTTTTATATGGTGCTGAGGATTGAACCCAGTGCCTCATAAGTGCTAGGCAAGCACTATACTACTGAGCTAAAACCCCTGCCCCATTCCCATTTTTCAGTGTTTTCCAAATAATTTTTTTTAAAAAAGAATAAGGTTATTCCATCTCAATGTACATATATGCATCTTTCAAATGAAATACAAATGTTGTACATGTTTATATGTATAACACATAGGCACATATACAGAAGCTTATGTTCCAATGTTAGTAAAAAGGGAGAGAGCAAGAGTGGAAAGGGAGACAAAAACTGGAAAGTTTTTGAACAATGAAGTACATTATCCAATTTGTGTTTTCTTAGGAAATTTAATCATTGAGGACTGAGTATGACTATTTGAAGGCACAGAAACTAGAGAGAATGCTATTTAGATAGGTGTGAGGTGAGTTCTTCACGCAAATTTAGATATTTTACTTATAGATACACAATAAAACATGCTCTCATAGATCATTTTAAAATACTAACAATTTTTTCATATATTTTGTAAATTTTTCAAAAGGTATAGTTATTTAAAATAATACTTCATAGAAGGCATTTCCCCATAGAATGTTAAGTTTTAAATTGCTATAAGCTATAAGTGTTTTACTCTATTTGTATTTATTCTTATAACAATAGTGACAAAGACACAATTAGGTCATAGAAGATATCTGATATAAAAAAAGAAAATCCTACATAATTGCTACTTCCTTAATATGTCATATACACATAGTACTGTACTAGACTGTGACCAGAAGAAATGGTCTTAAAAATCATGAAGAATGAGAACTTCCAATTTTATTAAAAATATCAAAATTAAAACTGTAGTAAACAAAACATATAAGAATAAATCACTAGATTGGGCAGACAATTACTTGCCCAGTACCACTGTCTTTCAAAATGTTTTCACATTCCCCATGATACACTATGACAGATTAATTTAGGGTTCTGGATTCAGGCAGCAGTTGTGCCTTTTCTAAGTCAAACAGTTGTCTTTGTTGTTGTTGTTGTTCTTTTTAGTTATATATGATAGCAGAATATATTTTGATATAATTATATAAGCAAGGAATATATCTTTTTCTAGTTAGGATCTCACTTTTACGGATGTATATGATACTGGGATTCACTATGCTGTTTTCATATATGTACATGGGAAATTTATGTCAAATTTATTCCACTGTCTTTCCTTTTGCTAGTCCCTCTCCCTTCCGTCCACTCCCTGTTGTATGATCTACTGCACTTCTGTTCTTCCCTCTCTCCTCCCCTTATTGTGGGATAGTTTCCACATATGAGAGAAAACACTCAACTTTTTCTTTTTTAAGACTGTCTTATTTCACTTAACACAATAGTCTCCAGATCCATCCATTTACTGGAAAATGTCACAAATTCATTCTTCTTTGTGGCTGAGAAGAATGTGTGTGTGTGTGTGTGTATCACATTTTTTTTAATCCATTAATCTGCTGAAGGACATCTAGGTTGGTTCCATAGCTTAGCTATTGTGAATTGGGCTGCTATAAACATTGATGTAGCTGTGTCACTGTAGTATGCTGATTTTAAGTCCTTTGGGTATACCCTGAGTAGGAATAACTGGGTCAAATGGTGGTTCCATATCCAGTTTTCTAAGGAATCTCCATACTGCTTTCTGGAGTAGCTGCACCAATTTACAGTCCCACAGCAATGTATGAATGTAACCTTTCCCCTCACATCCTTGTCAACATTTATCATTACTTGTATTCTTGATAATTGCCATTCTGACTGGAATGAGAAGGAATCTCAGTATTGCTTTAATTTGCATTTCTCTAGTTGCTAATGATGTTGAACTTTTTAAAATACATTTGTTAACAAACTTTATTTCTTCTTAGGCAAAGTATCTGTTCAGTTCCTTTGCCCATTTATTGATTGGGTTATTTGCAGTTTTTTTTTTTTTTTTTTTTTTTTTTTTTTTTGGTGTTAAGGTTTTTGAGTTCTTTATATATCCTGGAGATTAATACTCTATCTAAGGTACAGAAGGCAAAAATTTTCTCCCATTCTGTAGGCTCTATCTTCATGTTCCTGATTGTTTCCTTTGCTGTGAAGAATCTTTTTAATTTGATACCATCCTATTTATTGATTATTAATTTTACTTCTTTTACTTTAGGAGTCTTATTAAGGAAGTCAGTTCTTCAGCCAATATGTTGGAGTGTTGGGCCTACCTTTTGTTCTAGTATGTGTAGGGTTTCTGGTCTAATAGGTTTCTGGTCCATTTTGAGCTGAGTTTTCTGCAAGGTGAAAGACAGGGGTTAAATTTCATTCTATTATATATAGAGTTCCAGTTTTCCCAGCACCATTTGTTGAAGAGGCTATCTTTTCTCTAACTTATGTTACTGGTGCCTTTGTCTAGTATGAAGTAACAAACAGCTAATATCTTATTCCATTTTGCATTGCTATTAAAAATACATAATGCTAGAAACTTTATAAAGGAATTTATTTAGCTCACAGTTTTAGAGGCTGAAAACACAGGACTGAGTGGCTCTAACCGTTCTGCTTCTGAGGGCCCTCTTGGCTATGTCACTGCACAGGGAAGTGAAAGGGGAAAAAGTTGCTTGTAGAATAGGCCAAATATATGGGGCGGTCTCATTTTTAAAGAACCCACTCTTTCAGTATTAACCTGGTCCTATGAAGGCTAGAACTTCCGGAAGATAGCATTAATCTATTCATGAAGGTGGGGCCTAATTACCTCCCAATAAGCCCCACCTCTAAAATGTTCCACCACCTCCTAACACACCACAATACTGGGAAACAAGCTTTCAGCATAGAAATCATTGGGGGACCCACAAGAATTACACTGAAACCATAACAGCTAGTTAAGTGGTATCTGTGACATATTAAGGATGGTTATAAAATCTCTGTTACTCCTCCCATTGAGATGTAGGGTATGGGAACTCTCTTCTGGAATTTGGTTGATCTGTGACTACTTTGACAAACAAAGTATGAAAAAAGTTATATTAGTTTCAGGCCTAACTTTGAAGAGGACTGGCAGTTTCTGCGTTATTTCTTATACGAACAGTTATGTATGAAGAGCGAGATGAGCTTGCCATGCCATGAAATATTAAAATATCTTACTTAATACCGTATACTTAATGCTATAATAGTTACAGAACCAATTTTCTAGCCATTAAACAATATCACGCCTAAAATACTTCTCTTATAATAGTCAGAAAAACTGAAAGCTCCATGAAAGCTGGAACATTTGTCTATTCTCTGATTATACCCATTAGACACCGTGCCTCTGTGACCTCTGTTAGCTCTATGATTAGTGTATTGTTTGTGGTTCATCTTCTTTCTCTTCCTTCCTCTGGGAAGCCAGCTACTAATATTTCTTAAATAATTGTACAAATATTCTACAAAAGAGCATTAGAAATAAAGCTAATGGGGAAAATAATCTCAAACAGGACCAAGTAAAATTTGAAGAAGAGTCCTAACCTTCTGTTTTACTAATAAAGGGCTTTCTCTACTTCAGATGAGCTTTTTTGGTTTACTAAGTATCTTTACTGTCCCCCTTTACTGTCACAGAATCAGTGACAGATTATCTCAGTGAAGATGTCAAATTTCTAAATAAGTACAGCTTTATACTAAGATTTAAATCACAGTACAAAATATCAAATACAATACATTGATGATGTCCTCCATTTTCCTGGTGTTGCCTGTATACTCCATGAGCAGATATAAGAACTTTTTCCTGCTTCAGACATTTCATATGCCCTATACACTGGCAAATATGGCATACTTTAACTTTCATTCTGAAAAAACTAAGAATATTTTTTTCACTATCATTCTTGTGTGTTTATCTAGGTGCTGCATGTAGTACAATATTCTTCTGCAAAACTCACCATGGAATGATGGTTTAATCCAGAGGGCTATGGCAGATGTGATAAAATCCAAATGTGAGTTTCTTGAATGCTGATTATTAAAAAAAAAAAAAAAAAGTCCTGTGGCAGGATAGGTGGACCAAATCAGGTTATTAATACCATGTGACTAGACTGAAGTTTTTTGCTTTTTGTTTGTTTGTTTGTTTTTTAAGTACTAACAAGCTTCTGGTACAAGTAAATCCTAATTAGCCCAGGTGGGCCTATGATAGGCTAGGGAAGAGTCTGTATAGCAGAATAAATGTAGAAGGCACGGTGTGAAGACAATAGTGAAGTCAAACTTTTCTCAAAGAAATTGAGCAGGACAACATAAACAAAGATAAAGGAAATAATGTAGGAGATTCAACTGTGTTGGCATTATGTCATTGAGAGAAAAAGGCTCATTTCAAAATGAAGACAACTGTGTACAGTCTTCCCCTAGAGGATCTATTTCTCTAAGAAACAAAGTGAACAACAGAACTAAAGAGGTGCTACCAGCAGGTAAATGCATATGAAGGAGAAAAATGAGGCAGAAAGGAGCCTAGTGATGGAAAGAAGACAATACAGGATGAGTACGTTCTTAGGGAGAAGGCTGGGAATCTGTAATTTTTAAGTAACCCTGGAGAATAAGGAAAATTTGGAGGAGATGATAAGCATCTTGACAAACCAAAGTGAGATCTTAATTCTAGAACCAGGCTTCAATGTGTTAGGGAGAAACAGCCCCCTCTCTGCTCATCTCTACTTGAGACCAGGTGATTGCTTTGCTCCTCCTCCTTGCTCTTTATTCCCCAGTGTATGGATGACCTTTTTGAGTGGTAAACTGCTATTTGTGGCTCATCCTCTTTTTTCTCCTGTCTTGGCAACCAGCTGCTCTTAAATAAAACACACATTCTTCTCTGCTCCTCGGTGTCACATGGAGCAGTCTGAAGGTAAGTCTGCCTATTTCTAGGGTGATAAATTGGCTACCCCATTTGGATAAAACCCCTATCTTTATCCTAATCTTTATCCTTTCTTTTTTCTCTGGGTTCTACATTTGGATGAAGAAGAGACAGCTGCATCTGATTTGAGGTGTAAAAGTATGAAGAATATGTGGATTTTAGAATTGACAAAACAGTGATTTGATACCTTAGTATTATGACTTGCTAATGTGTGAAAAATATATATGTAAGAAAGAGAGGGGAAAGGGGGTGAAGGAATGAAGAAGTGGAGAGGAAAAAGGGAGGGACACAGATCACGAATGTGCAACCATCAGTTATTCAAATAAGGGCTTATCTAGAGAAGTCATTAATTTTCTTTTTAAAATTTTTTTTGTAGTTATGGACAAGATGACTTTGTTTATTTTTATGTGGTGCTAAGCATTAACCATCTCCATGTTTTTCTCTTATTGAAATATAACCTTTGGTCTTTCATGAATTAGAGTTAAGGATATTTATCCACTTACGCTTAAAAACCAAAATGACATTTAATATTAGTGCATTTAATTATACAGAATAATGGATTTCATTGTAGCATATTCATATATGTATATAATATACTTTGCTCATATCAGAATAACTTTTATAAGCTAACCCACTTGATTAATTTTCTACAACTCTGAAAGAAATACTGAGATCCATCTTTTGTATCAATCTCATTATTATGCTATTCATCCAAAATATGAAATGGAGAAAATGGAAGAATTGTTTACGGGGAAAGAACAGAGGTGATTTTAGAGTTCGATTTTCACACTGAGACTTCATTAGTTTGATTGAAGTGTTTGTTATGAGTATTCTAAATGTCCAATGGACCCACATTAACTTGAAATTCAAATTCATCCATAGGCAAATATAAATGAGATTTAGATGTTTATTCCTACTATTTGTTCTAACCTTCTTTAAAATATGGTGGCCTAAGGATTTTCCCAATAACAAGATATTGAATTTTACACGATTTTTTTGTAAAGCACTTCTCTGCAAAATATAATGCTTATAATACATTTATATAAACAGAAGGTATATGGTTCCTTTATTGTCTAAGTATGGAAAAAGAGATCTAAATGCTCTTAATGGAGTTTTAATAACATTTTTTCCTATTTTTGGATGGTGGAAAAAAGTTAAGAATGTTGTTTGAATTTTTAACTTTTGTGCCACTGATATGTTAATGATAAACACATAGGAACAAAAGAACTACAGATTTAAAACAATATGTTATGAAGGTTCCAAATTTAGGTTAGGAAATTTTGAAATAATTATCAAACATTGTGAAACCAGTAAATAAAAACTAAGGGCTATATGGAAAACTACCACAACATATACTGGTATATATTAGGGAAGAAATAATACCTGTAGCTTTCTTAAATATATTGTGTGTTTAAACACTGAAAGCTTTTAAATTCTTCAATATAATGTAGTTCTTCAATATAATGAAAAGTCAACTGATACTCTAGTCTATAAAAAAAAAGGTATTTTTAAAATAACAGTCTTGTTAACAGGTCTCCAAATTAAAAAAGCAAACAATAGTGCAAAAGTGTCTAATTGTAATGCATGCCTATATTAAAATAAATACATTTCTACTATTAGATACACATCCAGAGTCAAGTTTCTAATCATGCTACAACTCCTAACTCCTGTAAAAAAATTTTTTCATATCAATGCGTTTTCATTTTTTACTAACACTAATTACCTTTAAATAAATGATTCAGAGATGTCAAAAGTGACTCTCAGGGAATGTTTCAAGAGATCCCAGTTTCCCGAATTATAGCCTAGAACATCTGCTTAGCAATCTGGCAAGTAGTTTGAAGCCAAAATAGTGCATCTCATATATGGTTGTTGTATCTGACCTCAAGAATGTGACAGCTGGCTATTTGCCTATAACCTTTATACTATAAAAATCTAAAATTCTGTATGCAAGAGAGACTAGTAAAAACAAGAATGCCAATACCAGAAGCATGGAGTATATAAGGAAAACAACTTCCTCTAGGAAAGTAGAACTGTTGGATTTTTCATGCCAAAGTAAGTATAAAATATTATTAAAAGAACTTTCTCTTCAAAATGGCAGTTAGCAGTTATAAGCCACTTGACATAAACACTTTTGCATGAACCTATCAGTTGTAAAATATCCAAATAAGTCTGGCAAATATTACAAGGAAACAACATCACCCTGTCACAGACACCAGCAGTCTCAACCTAATCTTTGTTAATCTGCAGGTTATGATGTTCACATAAAACCAGGCAGGTAATAGACCCATAAAACTCCACTGGAAAACTTCTAGAACTCATATAAGTGAACTCAGCAAAGTAGCAGGATATAAAATTAACACCCAAAAATCAACTGCATTCCTACACATCATTGATGAATCAACTAAAAGAGAAATTAGGAAAACTATCCCATTCACA